GAAAAACTTTTCAGAGCCGCCGCAAATGTGCAGCAAATGTGTTTTCGATTCAAGGAGTCAGTCGGAAATCCTTCTGACCATATTACCTAATGATGGTCTAAGTGTTTACTCATTCAATTCAACGTCGCATGTGCCGGTGTTGACTTTAAAAATTGGATAAGTAAGCCAAGTTAATTCTATTTACATAAAATTGAAAAGATGCTGTCATGGCAGATGAGATAAAAAAGGTTCCCTTTTTCTGAATATTTTAATAATAATAGTCCAAATATAAATTCTGATAGACAAAGCATAGCAGTTTTATTGAAACATATTTTTTTTAATCATCAAATTATGGGTGATATATATTCCAACTTAAAACAAATTAAATTATTTTTAAAATTTGTTTTATTTCTACCCAGTTTTTACTCTTTGGTTTCAACCCAACACAATTTTTTAAGGGGAGTATCCAAGTTTTTATATTATTAAAAAACTGTATTAAATAAATTTATAATTATATAGCTTGCCTTTTCCATTAATGCTATAGTTTTTCCATGTTTGTATCTACGTTCAGCATAGACAGATAACACAAAACAATTGAGTTTGGTTATTGTTGCATTAAAAGAGTGTTAAAGACATGTTCTCAATGGTCATTAAATGGGTTTTGATAAGAGCAGAACTTCAGGGCGGACCGCACACCACTTGAATTGGATGCCTACTCGGAGGGATTTCTTCGGTTTATTGTAGGAATTTTATTAGAATGCCTACCACATAACGATGCTGATAATTGGCGCTTAAGGAGTCAAACGACTTGTATCCAAAGATAGGGGAATACTCACTCAACTGAGAGCTCGGATTGAAATGGATCCGTGGCGTATTGGATTACCACTGCAATATTTATGACCGCGATGTACACGAAAATATTAAAAATGCATAAATACATCGGCACCGAAACTATGGATGATGATCGTCCTGATATCTGAGACACTCGCCACAGTTGACACTTGTTTGAGGGGAGTGGAGCGGGGAACCTGCCCCGGGCAACCCATTTTCGGGTATCATAAATATGTCAAAATAGTTTTAAGCCAATTTTTGTTCCACAAAAACCCAACGATTTGTGTGTACGTGTGCGTTTTGTTGTGGTCTCGTGGGATATACAAATACGAATGTTTCTGTTTGAATTGGCCCTCAGTGGTTTTTTTTTAATGTTCCGGGTACTATATAAAACATTATTAAACGACTTTTCGCCATAAACAATGGGTATTCGATATGTTCAAAAATCCGTAGAACTGTGCCACGGCTCATTGACATTCGGATATCGAGTGTGAAACAGGGCACCTCCTTGCCCGCAGACCCACAAGATTATCCTTTTTCGAGGACTTGTAATAAATCACTTCATTAGTATAGCATCGCCACGGCTAGTTGGGTGATTTATAGGTTCGGGAGATGCCTACGAGGGATCTTCATGTTTGTTGACACTCCGCTCCTCCGAAACTCCGCCTCACACACCCGAACTCTTCGATCTTCTATGTATCTTCGAGCCTGTCGGAGCACTCAGCCCTGACTCACATTGTGAAGCGTATTCCACTATTCAAGTCGGGGGCTTTTGAGGCCGCTTACCGTTATTTGCATTTGTACTCAATGCATTTCGTTTATAGAGGCCCAGACTTATCGGACCTAACTAAGCATAACATTGCCAGCTTGGGGTCACAGGAGAAGCGGAACAGGGGTTGAACTCGGATGGGGGGTACAAGTAGGTGGATTCAGAAGTCAAGTGTGAGAAAGTTTTATGTGTGGCAGCCAACCAAACTTCTGAAACTAGTAGTTCGCCTCAATAGTACATAATAAGTTAAACAATAGATCTGAAATATGAACCTTCTTCTAAGTCAGCTCCAAATTACCATTATTTTGAATCGTTTATTTGTCAAAAAAGTACACTACTCAGACTAATATTGGGTGTATAAACATATCTGATCTATTATAAATCGTTGATTCATGGAACTGCAAACTATTTCCTTAGCCATAAACACCAATTATATTTTGATGACCTGAGACTAAAAGGGTTAAGTTACTTGCATTTTTGTGAAGTCAAAAATGTTGCTCTTAAAACGTATTAAAATTAAGGATTACAATTCTCAGTTAAGTTCTAAAATCACAAAACTTTACTTAAGATGGTTACATTATATTATATTTAGGTCCTCGACATGCTTGAATCGCGTGTTATATTGAGTCGATTGCCCAGTGACGTCTGTGTCAGTTTTTCAAACTTGGCAATTAATAATTTCAAGGTTAAAGTTCCATTATGGATGCCAGGCACATGCAGCGAACGAGCTCGGTCCGAACATTTCGAAATACATACTTGTTTTTGCCTTTGGTAAAAAAATACAAATTTTTCGTTCCCGATCGGGAGTGTTAAGGCAACCGAAGGCTAACAAAAAATAATTGTACAAATAAATTAACAAATAATATAAATGAGGCGAACGCGGAGAGGCGTCAACCTCAGGGCCCATGTGTCTAGGGAAATGTCCGGTATAATTCCTCACTTCAGCGGGACTTTAAAGCGATTCTAAGAGCCCCTTATCAGCTGTGAGTTTTCGAATATTTAATAACAGACACTAAATTGGTTTCAAATGCCCACAAAGGTTATGCCATTTATGTCTACGTGCGAGTATTTGTTTTGTGCTGTATTTTTAAATATAGGTCCGCAAGTACCATTTAAATTCGAATTCCGATTTGCTTTTGGAGCCGACCGACCCACTTGAGTGTCGCCTATTTTTCCATTTGACCATTGATCGTTAAAATGTTCTAAAATGTCTAAACAGATCGTTGGTGCCGCTTATTCAAATGACGATAAAAATGTCATAAAATCACTGGGCGATCGTCCCAGTATCCCACTTGAAAGCAGTTTTACGACTCGTCCTGGTTCAAATATAACAAATTTTTAATCAGCCATTAGAGCAGAGCTCAAGTACACCATTTTACGATCGTCTTTGAATATTTTTGGCGACGCGTCTCGGGAATTGGCAACAGAAGTAGAGATGAAGTCTAGGGGAAAGTCTTTCTCTTCGATTTTTCTCACGGCGCTACTCCAGCGTTCACTTGCTTCGCCGCGAAAAATATCCTTTGCTCGGGTCCTGAAATTCAACACTCGTCTCGCCTGGATTTTAATGTTCGCGTCCTCGCAATAGGCATGAAAGTGTGTTTGGGTTCTGCGACCCCCTTCCAATACGCATGTTTTAAAATTTTAGAGAAATTTCATATGTGTATGATCCTATGCCCCTTCACTTATAACTCGATCTGATTTATGCGTAAATTTTACGTTCGATTTGTAAAATTAACCGTGAATAGAAAGCGGGGTTATTGGCCGAGACCAAATTAATGTGCTAGGGTAGGGATCGGTAAATATTGCCTTATAATGTGTAACAAATTTATTAATTCTATTAGTAGGTTGGTTTTGAAATTATATATTTCAAATCCAATTTTAAATCACTTTAAATTCATTTATAAGAAAATATTTATTTTCTTTTGTTAATCTAGATCTCCATTTGGATTTATATCATTGTAATACAATAGTTTAGTTGTTAGTTTAGTTAGTTTTGAGTTGTCTGCCTGTCCTTCCGATAAAACTTTTTCAAAATACATCTTTCCATTGCAGTTGTTATATATGATAATAAAGCTCCCATACCGTAAAAATAATTAAAATCAAATAAAATCAGGTATAGTCCAACGATTTTTTTATAATAACAGAATTTTTCTTTAAATTTTATAAACGAAAAATGTATCGGAAAACTGAAAAAGCTTCTTTATTTTAAACATATTTATACGCATAAAAATCGATCTTTTATAGATATTGATTGAATGATTTATAATTTCGTTAACCATATTTTTAGTTAATGATGCATCTTGTTTTATACATTAATTCTGTAACAAACATAAGGTTTCAATTTTATGAGCTGCCAATTTGTTGACCCTTATTTTATTGGATTTAATCTATTAACTAAGTGCTTAGCATATTGTTGTAGTCAAAAAATCTCAAGAAATAATCCTATTTTCCGTTGTACTGATTATCTAAATTTATTTTTAATTAACTTTGATTTCATTTTAAATTTAAATGTTATTTATAAAAAACTATATGTATTTTTTATATTTCCCTGATTTAGTTTGTACTTATTTTGCGGTCGCTGGTAACCGCCAGTCAACCAACCACAACAACAGAGGCCACAACAACACCAATCGAGCAACAGGCTGCGGCGACAACAACAACAATCCGGCATGGCCTCTGCCTCGACCTGCTGCCCACCCCTCCCACTTTCTATGCCCGTTGTTGTTGCTGTTGCTGTAGTGAGAGGCGTAGCTAAAAGCGGGGTACTCGCACTTGGAGGCATTGGTGAGAAAGAGAGGCAGCGAGAAACATTAGTCAAAGGCAATGAGTGCGACAAGGTCGGCAGCAGCAGCAGGCGAGGCACAAACAAAGCCAACGACGCAGCGAAGGAAGAGAGGAGCCAAAGAGAATGCTCCCCAAAAGAGAGGGAGAGTGGGAGAGCGGGCGCATGTAGCTTGTGCATCCAGACATTTTAAGCTGTACACAGAAAATATATATGAATAATTTGTAAGATTGACTTGATCTTTTTATCACAATAAAACTGTATCTTGTTAATAAATCTAAAAAAAATTTAAGTTCCATAAGAAATTCAATTAAAATAATAAAAAAACCTATTTAAAATCATAAAATGATCGAAATGAAGTTTATTAAAACTTTTGTAAGATTGATTTTAAAATTTCCTAATTTTTATATGTGTATGATTATGATTGCGAGTGGCGCTCGTGTAACGGGATTTGGAGCAAAGCACAAAGCAAACACAACTGTAATCAATGGGGAGAGTGGGAGAGAGGATGCTCGCTGAGATTTGTGCTCGATTTGATTTTCTAAAAAACAATTTTAACGAGCTTATTTTGTTTCGAGCTTGTGTTTCGTATTTCGAATTATTTCGAAGCGCAAGCCGCTCAAATCAAATCAGTTTGTGTGAAAATCGCGCCGGACACGGACACGTACGTGGATTGCGGCGGATAATCCGTATAATCGAGTGGTGTGGATCGCCGGAATTATGACCAAAACAACGAAGCCCAAGGAGAAGGCGGCTGGAGCGCAGGGGGCGTTGGCGGGGGCAGGGTCGGGGGCCAAGGCGGGCGGGGGCAGTCTGCTGACGAACGCGGCGGACAGCAAGATCCGTACGGCCAAATCCAACAACAACAAGCGGCAGTCAGGACGATCAACAGCAACTACAACAGCAGCAGGATCAAATGCAGCAGCGAAAGAGACAGCAATAGCGATCGGAGCGGAGCCCACAGGGGCAGCGACGCCGCCAGCGACGCTGACTGAGGCAGCGACGTCCGTCGCAGCGAATTTATCGACACTTGAGTCCGCGCACTCACAGGCTCACACTTCAGTTGTCAGCGAAACAGCAAGGCAAGCGGTAACCACAGCAAACGCGTCGGCAACAGCAACTCCAACACCAACAGCAACAGCAACACCAAGCGACACGCCAGCAACAACTGTAGCGGCGATCGATGACGATCGCAGTGCGATAAATAATACTAATCAGCCGCAGAACGACGCGAGTGAAAGTGTTGATAATAAAATCAAAGTGATCAACTATGCACATCAGTCAGAGGATCAGCAGCAACAGCAACAACATCATCATAACCATCAGATCTACGAGCAGCAACAGTTTCTCAACCAACAATTGATAAGCCAGCATCAGCAGGAGCAACATCAGCAACAGCAATCACAACATCAGTCCCAACAGCAACAACTAGCGACACAGGAGCAACATCAGGCCGGTTGGCTGGCCTATGACCTGACCAGCGGTTCCGCGGCGGCAGCAGCGGCACATCACCTCTTGGGCCACTTTCCCTATCCGCCCACCCATCACCATCCAGCTGCCCAGCTCTACGAGCATTACGCCAGTACGGATCCCATAATGAGAACCAATTTTGCGGTTTACAGCGTATACGGCGGAGGTGGCATGGCCAGTCACGAGCAACTGTCAGCGGCGGCGGCAGCGGCAGCAGCAGCGGCCCAGGGCACAACGCCCAACATTGACGAGGTGATCCAGGACACGCTCAAGGACGAGTGCTTCGAGGATGGGCACAGTAGCAACTACCATGTGCTGACTTCGGTCTCGGACTTGCATCCCTTGAAGGATGCCAGTCCAGTGCCTGGAATCTATTCCCTGACTACAGATCAAATCCATCAACAACAGCAGCATCTGCATCACCAGCAACAGCAGCAGCAACTCTACCATCAGCAACAGCAGCAACATCACCACCACAACAACTCAACCAGCTCGGGGGGCGGCGATTCGCCATCGTCCTCCCATGCCCTGTCCACCATGCAGAGCTTCACCCAGCTGACCAGCGCCCAACGTGACAGCCTCTCGCCGGAGAACGTCGCCTACTTTGGGGCCACCCAGCTCAGTCCCAGCATGCAGAACAGGTGAGTCTTTCCTCGGAGTAATGAGCTCAGTATCACGAAGCGGTCGAGCGCACGTGCCTTTCGCCCGCTTGGCGACACCGTTAAAAGTCATGATCGGAGCGCCGATCAGCGATCAACGATCACCTAACAGAGAACCGCACTGGCTGATTCATATTTCTCCGGTCTTGGCGCGGTTTCTCGGGCGGAATGACGAACCCACAATAGAGCCCATAATTGTGGCTCATTGTTCCAAAGCTCATGTTTGGGTCTATTCCTTCTCCTCCCTGGACCCAAATCCAAATCCAAAATCAAACACAGTCGGTTATGGTTATGGCGTTATGGCATTCTCAGGTGGTTTACTCAATGTGTGGAATGCAAAAATCTGTTACAGTTGCATCTAGTTAGTTAGTTAGTCGGACTCGAAGAATGTGTTTCCAGTGGGAAAACAAAAACATAAACAAAACACAACTGTGCTGCCATCGCAGATGTCTCATGTAAAGAGCATTCCAGGCGTGACGCCTCCGTTTGGAGGTGGCTTGGTCTAGTGGGGCAGGACTGACAGGTTCAAAAAGTAGCTGCGAGTTTGGAAAAAAAACATTGCTCCAGGTTTTATAAAAATCCTAGATTCAATAGATAAATAATATTAATTTGTAGGTCTCTTAATTTGTAAACCTTTTTTAAAACATTTATTACCGTTAACTCCCTTCTCTAAGTTTGTTTTTATAAAGATGAGATTAATTCTTCGTTTCCTTATCTTTTGTATATACAAGCTATCTTTTCGAAATTTTTATAATGTTTTGCGATGTCAAGATTGACAAGATGACTTCTTCGTATTCTATTACTAAAATTAACCTTGTTCAAAACCAAAACAAACAATACCGGGGTATAAATAACAGTTTTTCACTGGCCATTTTAAGAGCCGCCTGTGTCTTTCCCAAAGAAGTCTTCCGCTAGCTTGAAACTCAGCAAAAAAATATACAAATTGCCGGTCAAATTTCGTAAACAAGAATATGCAATGTCTTAATTATTGACGCATGGATTTTCTGACTCATGAGTTTTCCCGTTAGGGATCTTAGCCCAAGCAGAACCAACTTCGCCAACAGATGCAGGAATTCTAAATGGTTGACTAAGTTTCTTACTAGGGTTTCGACCAGCATGAGATGGTTAAAACCGCACGTGTCCAGTTTGTTGCCACTTTTGACTTGGGACCAGCACGTGCCACAAATTTAAGGCAAGTTAACTACCAAAAAAAAGGGGGCGTGACCCGCATTTGATCGAGCAGTCGAAACTCGGCGACTTGCAGAGCCAAAACGAAAATGCAAATTGCTATTGTGGCGCATTTTTCTAGCTTGTTTTGGGTATTCGGTTGCAAGTTCTATAGTTTGGTGAGAGGATACCTTTCGAGTGTGTGACTGTTTGAGAGCTGGGGTAACCCAAACCCATCCCGTGACATAGAAACCGTCGAACGAAACTGAAACTCGGCCACAGAGAAACAGCTTCAAATGCTTCGCAAGACTCTATTTTTTCTGTGTTCAGGGTAGCCTCTGCTGACTCAGCAACCCCCAAGTTGAAATACACCTATAAGGGTTAAGGAGAGCGGTACGGTGGGTGTAATGGGTAATTCTCTAACGATCGGTGGGAGGCAGCGGACCCAACGCACCCGCACATTTTTGATCCCATTTTGGTTGACTCTTTTTGGTGATGTATTCGTTTTCTACATTTTGCACTGCACTTGGTTTTACTGCTTAATGTGAAGTTTCTATGTTGTTTTTTAAATTGAAAAAGTGTTTTGCATATGTATATGAAAACAGTCTTGAATGGACACTTAGTTAAAATATATGGAAAATAAAATGATATTTAAAAAAATATATTTAATAACCGAGCATTTGACGGTTTTGCATAGACGGAAATAAGCACTTGTATATCTGGTAACAAAACAACGCTGAGACTAGATGATCTCAAGCTTAACTGGCGGATGATGGTGACGCCGATGTGCTCGGCATTTCGTATGTGACTTTTTGGTCAGTTTCGCTTTTGTGGCGGTAAGAAACCAGAAGAAGATATCACGCTGCTGGCCAGCTCACATGCCATTTTCGCCATACATACATATGTGAAAAACAAGAAGTCGACGCAAAATACTCACCTGCAACAAACAACAGAAGCAACAACAACAGAAATGAACTGCAGCGGTGATAATTTATATCGTTGTCGTGCATTTTTTGTTGTCTCTCAGACTTTCTATATAATATGCAGCTATATATTAGCTATAGCTAGGGCATCTTCAACTGAAAATTCTGCTTTTCTTATCAGAGAGCGTGCGCATCTAGCTGAAAGACTTGGTCATATAAATTCTTGCAACAAAGAGCAAATGATTTGCAAGTCGTTTGTTTGATAATTGAATATACATAAAGATATCGTTTTTTTCGGTTAAGTTTCTTCTGTCACTTTATCGTGTTGTGTGTGTAAGACTGAGATTTTTGGGCCAAAACTCTCTGCAACAAGAGCAAATGCAGCAGCAGCAGGGGCGACAACTGCAACAGCAACTGCATTGGCATAAAGCTAAACCCGACTCAAGTCATTATGCAAACGCGCGTGCCCCGATTCGGTTGTGCTTTTTTCTCCGTCTCCATCTTCGACTGCCGTCATCAGTCGCCCAGCTTCGTCCAGAGAACTAAGCCCGAAATAAAACTGAAAACTGAAATAAAAATAAATCAAAACGAAAATGAAAACGCTAAAGCTGAGCTGAGCACTTCCGCGTGTTTCCTGTGTTGCTGTTCGAACATAAATAGAATATTGTATTTGTTTGCAAAAAAGGGTTGTACTAGACAATGGAGAATATTAGTTGATTGATTTCGATTGTTCCCATGTGCAAAAATAATGTGTGTAAGCCCATCAAGTTGGCGGAAGTTTAAAGTGTGCACCTGTGAAAACGAAATCTCAAAAGTTTTGATCCTTAAGTTCTTATCTTTCTAAGATCGATGGCCCAAAAACAAACTTTTGCCTACGCGGCAATTCGTTTCCAGCCAGCTTTGTTTATTAAAATTCTTTCCGAGTTCTAGCAAAAATATTTGCACAGGCTACTGTTAACTAAGGCTAACAAATAAGCGATTACTTTTTTTTTTGAATAAACAATGCTGCAAACAGTTTTATACTTTAATTAAGAGTTTTATGGCCTCAACCGCACAGCCACAACGGCCAACATGCCGAAAACTGGCCGCTGGTGGTCCGCAAAAAGCAAAAACAACTCATTCTTGTAAAGTAAACAATAGTCAGGAAATGTTAATAGCGTCTCGAATTCCTCACAGTAACAGTGCGACGTTAACAGAGGTCTCAACAGCAACAGCGACTAAAAACGCGCTCAAAACGCGCGAAACAACGTGCCTAGCGTTTTAAAACGCTTAAAAAACTTTTATTAATTTTTAGAAATAAAAACTTTGTTAAAATGTTCTTTTCGAATTACAATAATATGTATTTGAAGAACTATTGCTATAGGTAAATCTTTTAAAAACAAAGTTTTTCATTACAAATTACACTGCCGAATTAAAATATAGCTTTAACCCATAACTCTAGCCTAAAATTAAATTAAATTGATTGCAACTACTGTACTTAACAGTATCTAAAAAATGATCTAAGTGAATTTAAAGTCGAAGATCGAAAACTAAATTCCTTTACTTCCAATGCTTCATTACAGCTCTGTTTATGCTGGATCCTTGCTCACCCAGGCTGCCAATGGCATTCAGTACGGCATGCAGTCGCCCAACCAGACGCACGCCCACCTCCAGCAACAGCACCACCAGCAGCAGCAGCAACACCAGCAACACCAGCAGCAGCAGCTGCAGCAGCAGCAACAGCACCACCTCCACCACCAGCAGCAGCATCACCACAACTCGAGCAGCAGCAGTCCGGGTCCAGTGGGTCTGCACCACACGAGCTCCTCGGTGGCAACAGCGGCGGCGGTGGCGGCGGCCACGGCGGCGGTTAATGGACACAACAGCTCCTTGGAGGACGGCTATGGATCGCCAAGGAGTAGCCACAGTGGCGGAGGAGGCAGCGTGGGGGGCGGTGGCACCTTGCCAGCCTTCCAGAGGTTCACATCCGGCAACAGCGGCTTCGTCAGTGGCATGCCCAATGGCTCGGTCAGTGGCCCCGAACGCTACGCTTCGATTTCCAATTACCGTCCTCAGGTGAGTCTTGCTCCCTTTCCCCTTTCGGGAATTCCCTTGTGCATCCAATAGCCAATCTGTGCCTTTCTGTTTCCAGAACGAGGGCTGGTTTGACCCGATGAGCTACACCTCCGCCGCATCTGGCCAGGCGCAGTTGGGTGTCGGAGTTGGAGCCGGTGTGGTCACCAATGTGATACGGAACGGCAGGGCCATTTCGGCGGCCAATGCAGCAGCCGCAGCGGCAGTGGATGGAAACACGGGAGCTTTTCTGTCCGCCTCGGCATCGTTGTCAGCAAGTAAGTTCCGCTTTAAGAATGGACCACAATTAGGCTAGTCTAGCACATCAGCAAACTGAATAATGAACTCACCAAAAATACACAAGCCAAGATCCTTTCTGTTTGTGTGTGTGCCTTCTCCTTTGCCTGGGCAGAAATGGAGTGGGTTTTGGGTAGAACTTCACACACACAAGGCGAGAAGGAAACCCATCGCTGGCCAGTTATTTGCATAACCTGAGCAAACCCGAAATGGGTCAGGAAATGGTAATGTTAGCCAACTGTAAGCAGCTGTTGTCATATTCATACATTTCCTCATCCTTTATTTATTATTATTATGCCACATATATATTTAGTATTAAGACTATGTCTCTATAATAAATTCAATTAATTTTATTTCAACTCTTGAGATAAAATCAAACAAAAAAAAAACACCACAAAAGCAAATCCCATAGAAATACAAATCTAAATAATAAACACACACAAAACAAAAAAACCAAAACGCAAAACAGCAAACAATCCAAACCAAACACCTAGCTAAAACCTTATGACTTATTTCGATATTTCTATGTCAATCTTTGAAGCATTATTCGATGCCGATTATTTCACTGAGGGGCGAGAATGTGTCAATTGTGGTGCGATTTCAACCCCATTATGGCGACGCGATAACACGGGACACTATTTGTGCAATGCCTGCGGCTTGTACATGAAAATGAACGGCATGAATCGACCCCTAATTAAACAGCCTAGAAGATTGGTAAATGTCTAAAACAAATTCACAACTACCAGCAATTATTACTAACCAATCAAACAAACGCTTTTGTGTGGAACAAAATTTTTGTGTGCGAACTCAGTGTTTAGTGGGTACAGAGACTTATAGAAATCCGCATCCGCCAGCCTCAGCCTCAGCACCACCGCCCTCAACTCCCCCCCGAACCCTTCAAGGCTCCAAGAGAGTGAAAAAATTAATTGAATTTATTATTTATTACGAAATGCCAATTAGTTTAATATGCGACAAAAACACCAAACGAATCGAAAAGTGACATTCAAAACGAAAATCAATCTGCTACTGCTTCTTGTGTATTACAACAAACAACATTCTGATTGCTCAATTCCAGTGGCCGCTGAATCAGGCGGGGATTTCTATAAGGCCAACTCATTTAATGTGGGCGGCGGTGGCCGTAGTAAGGCCAACACGACTGGTGCCGCCAGCTCGCAGGCCTACGGCTCCTGTCCAGGCTCGAGTGCAACCTCGGCGACTTCGGCGGTGGCGTCGGGAACGGCGACTGCAGCGACGACGCTCGACGAGCACGTTAGTCGCGCCAATTCGAGACGCTTGGTAGGTCGCCCATTAATTACCGATACCGAAACCAAAACCAAACAAAACCAAAACCAAAACCCTACCTACCAACCGAAACCCCCCTGAAAGTCAATTCACTAACAGAGAAAAGCGAGTAGACCAAGTAGTGCCACTAACCTAGCCCAGAATCACTGCTAACCAATATACACTAACCTGTAAACCCAGTAAATCTGTATATCCATAAACCCCCTAGTCACAGAGCTGTCATAGAAAACGTTGTTCCACACGAAATGCTTTTGCTATTTGAGTGTTTTTGTACCCATTGACTAATGCATTGCCGTATTTCCACATCTAGAGTGCCTCGAAGAGAGCCGGATTATCCTGCTCCAACTGCCACACCACGTACACATCGCTGTGGCGCCGCAATCCAGCCGGAGAGCCCGTCTGCAATGCCTGCGGACTGTACTATAAGCTTCACAGCGTGCCCCGACCGCTGACCATGAAAAAGGACACCATACAGGTAAGTGCCATCGGAGCATCAGTTCAAAATAAATGCCTAACAAATTTATTTTGTTTAAAATATCTTTACTTAAAACAATCGACCTTCAATAACTTCAAACTATTTAGACTTCAGGCCACTTGTAATGCCAATAAAAACAAATTCGATAGAAACAACATAATTATGTTGTGAAGCGTCTTTATCTAATGAGTACTTTAATGTATTTAATTGCCAATATGTACTTTAATCACAGTCTTGCTTACCACCTAGAACCAAGTTTTAATAACTGTCAAGTTATGAACCCAAAAATAAAAGTTTCAGTTGTTAAACAATTCGACTCAAAGTTTTAATTTTTAAAAGTTCATTTTTATTATTTTGAAAAATTAAATTAAAGTTTTACTATTATTTATTTTTATTTTGTAATTATTTCTTTTTGGTTTTGAGAAATTGTAATTAGATAAATATAGTAGATTAATGACTCAAAGTATAATAAATATTCAACAATCTTTGCCAATACAGAAACGCAAACGCAAGCCGAAGGGCACGAAGAGCGAAAAGAAGAAGTTGAAGAACGCCTTAAGTGCCACGTTGGAGAGCGGCTCCTTGGCGGCCAATTGTCACAATGTGGGCCAGGCCTTGGACAGCAGCCAGATGGGAGTGGACGTCAATGATGGTGAGTTGCAAACACATATTTTCCATTCCGTGTGCATGCCTAATTCGTGATGTTTGCTTTCTTTTTGTCCCCTTCCGCTCACCTGGTTAGATATGAAACCACAGCTCGATATGAAACCATACAACTCATACTCATCGCAGCCGCAACAGCAACATCCGCAGTACCAACAGCAGCAGTCGCAGCAGTTGCTAATGGCTGATCAGCACTCATCGGCGGCCAGCTCGCCCCATAGCATGGGTTCCTCCTCATTGTCGCCATCAGCCGCATCACATCAACATCAGCATCAGACACATCAACATCAGCAGCAGCAGCAGCAGCTCTGCTCCGGGCTGGACATGTCGCCCAGCTCTAACTACCAAATGTCACCCCTCAACATGCAGCAACAACAGCAGCAATCCTGCAGCATGCAGCACTCACCCAGCACGCCCACAACCATATACAATACCCCATCGCCCACACACCAGCTCCAAAATAACAACAACAATAGCTTGCTCTTCAACAACAACAACAACAACAATAGTAGCAATGAGAATAACAAACTAATACAAAAATATCTGCAAGCTCAGCAACAGAGCAGCGGCTCCACCAACGACCAGTTGCTGGCCCATCTGCTGCCGAACTCCTCGATTGCGGCGGTAGCAGCAGCAGCGGCGACAGCAGCGGCAGTGATCAAAACGGAGGCCCTGTCGCTCACCTCGCAGGCCAACTGCTCCACGGTCACCTCAACACCGACCACGGCATCCAGCACGTTATCCTCGCTGAGCCACGGCAACATTATTAGTCTGCAGAATCCCTACCATCAGCTGCAGCTGGGTCAGGGAATGACGCTGTGCAAGGCAACGCGGGACTCACCGCCATACTACCTGACGCCGGAGGAGGAGGATGAGCACCCGGCCCTGATCAAGATGGAGCAGATGGATACGCCGCAGCAGCAGCAGCAACAATCGGCCTCGCTGGACGAGCACTACGAACTGGCCGCCTTCCAGAGACAACAGCAGCAGCATCTTTTGCACCAACAGCATACGGCCGTCCTTTTGGGCCAACACGATCAGCATGCGGCCAACTTTACCATGCACAAGTTCGGCGTGGAGCGGGAAACGTTGGTGAAGATGGAGTAGGCGGGACACGCTGAGCTGAGCACCTGCCTGGCACCATGACCAAAGATTCTGTTGTTACATAAATCTCATAGCTCCAAAGAATTTATAGCCCTTAGTCGCCTGTATACCAAGAGCCGTTCTCAAAGAACCCTCGCCTATCCCAAATCTATCACATCATTAGTTGTACATAAGCAAGTAATTTAAGCAAGTCGATTGACATTTCCATTTTCGGCGAATTCGAATGACCTACTACTCGAAATTTGTTATTAAATACTAGTTTAATTCGTAGCAAAATGCAGACAGCATAAAATCAATTCAGATTCTAGGTTAATACTATTCATTTAAATTTGTTATCAAATCGAATACCTTTTGAGATTTCTTTCAATCAAATTCCACTTGGATATTAGCCATTTACTTAAGTTAAAAAAAAAGCAAATCAAAAAAAAACGAAAACAAAATCGATCGATGTAACCAACAATCTCATGCAATTTAGTTAGTAATTGATATCTTTTTATACCATTACCGATAAATATTTAAAGCAATTTAAGTTATAGTCTCGTACAACTTTTTACATCATCTTTGCAATATTAATTTTATTTCTTTTGAGCGAATAAACGACATTAGTCACTTAAATGGCCCAAAAGCGAGTACTTCGTTTAAAATAAAATGAAAACAATGTTTTAAGCCAACTAGGCGTATGTGAAATATGAATGAGGTCCTTGTATTTTTCCTGATCTTTACAGTATCCCAAAAGTATGTACTAGAAATTTCGACAGCATGCTGGCCCAAAAAAGTATGCTACAAATTTCTACCTTACACGTAATGTAAAATAGATCCCAACACATTCTTATAGCCAGGTTAGCATCACTGATTTATTTAAAATGCCTCTTACAACAGAAGTAGTCTTATTTTATTTATATTCAAGAGTTTTTGTAAATATTTAAATAATTTAATTTATAAATTTATAATTAATGTCAATCAATATCGTAAGGGATCCGGACTTGGAGTAGTAGTTAAGTAGCTAATACAAATGAGAGAAAAATTTGCGACATTTTTACCTATGATAAAAAATACTATTGTACAAATAGGAAAACGTTATTACAGTTTATATTTAATTGTAAACAATGTTCTTTTTAATTTATTTGTGGCTCAGTCTGGAAAATGACTAATATAAAATATATATTTTATTTTCTGAATAAAGGCTGTTTCATTATTCCGCTAAAATTCAGAAGAATTTTAAATGTTTGGTATTCCAAATTAAGAATGGTATTTTTTATAAGAGAGAAGTAATTGTAGACTAAAATTAAGCGATTTTTAACGTTCAAAGTGTATTTACTTGTTCAAGATTATTAGCCAAGTCGATCTTTTCAGTTGGTTTAAAGTTAGGCGACGACCTTTTTTACGCCTACAATTTACCTACATTTTTATGTTACAAAAATGTTTTAATTTTAAAGTAGTTGTATTTAAATTGTCAATTTAAATATTCAAAATTGTTTTAATGAACGTTACATTGTATTAAATAGGCTAGTATGTTTGTATTTAGTCGAAAATCTCGACGTGGGTACATTCTTGTGTTTATTATGAACAAAAATTTTTTTTTAATATTCCGTGAAAATTCCGGAGAATCTTATATGCAAACTTATAGAAATTAACCATATATACCCATTCTATGAGAATTCGTTGTACCAGATTTATTAAATAACACTTTAAGTGCGTAAGTCGAGGGGAAAACGCGCTCAGGTGCCAGCTATTCAGTGCCACTCTAGAATTGTACAATTACAGGCTGGAGAACTACGATATAGCGGAGTGTGTGTATCTGGATGTGGTGGGGGATGGGGGAGGGGGAAGGGGAAATCGGGGATGTACGTGGGGGATGTGTGTGTATTATATTATTTTGTGCGCCGCCATTTACGAAAGCGACATTTTCTGTGATAAGATAACGTCGCATTGCTGAGTCCCCTCCGCTCTGTGTCTGTCCCTGTCACTCCCAGGCCCTCCTTCTCCTCCCTCTCCCTCTCCCCCTCCTTCTCCCTCTCGCTCTATTTATATTTTTCGCTCTATTTCTTTTTTAATAAACTTTCAGTACTCTGGTTGCCGTTGGTTTTTTATGGGAGTCACGCGTTACAAAACGACAAACAGCAACAAAATCTGAAAGTCATTTCATGTGGCAAAACAGTTTTTGTTTATTGCTAGGGTTGTTTGCTCGCCGAGGGTGGGGATCCACCAGGGAGGGTCTGAGGTGGTGGGTGGGGGCTAGCAGTATGAGGTTGGTGGTGGGTGGTGGGCTACGTGACTGTACAAAAGTGGTTCATGTCGCGAGGGCTTTTTTGCTGGAACGGCTCGTGCACCGCTCAAGTGGCACTGATGGTGCTCCGCCCAGCGGTTTGATTGATACCATTGCTGATTAGCCGCGAAATGAAGTCCATCCACATGAAAATACTCACATCGATAAACGATTTTTGGGCTTCCAAATTAGTTTGAAACCTGTTAACATATCTTCTGATGATTGTTGTGGCTCACTGCAGTTACGAGTACTATCTGTATCTGGATTCTAATCGGTCATTGCTCAGATCTTTTCGCAAAACTTTCACTTAAGATATAGCTATTTTTTGGTGCCGGGTCATGGTTCCACTATCAAAGCTTTGGGCAAATAACTAAATGATAATGCCATCCACATAGCCTTGTCTTGAACGATATCAAAGCATGCTCGATAAGATAAAGTATGTTTTCGTTTTGAATCTTTCTTAAAATACAGTTCCCACTTAGTGATACCTAGTTAGTAAGCCTTAACATAGCCTTAATGCTTAAACTTAAGGAGCACATAGAAGATTAAAAAAATAAGGCATGTAATATTAATTGATTTAATTGAAATTTATCAACAAAAATTTTAAAGCAAAGACATCTACAAATGATTATACGTAGATTATGCTGCAGCCAATTTATGCCAATGCTTTGGGCGAATTAGAAACTATGCATTAGAATTGGTTTTTGATCATTGTTTTAATACTAATGGTACTCCATTTTTTCAGCTTATAACTAAAAAAACTACGTTCAGCAAATGTTATAATACTACGCGAAATTGTTGACAAAAAATTAATTCTCGTATTTGAGTAACCCTAATTTACTAAGCCATGGCAACTTTGAATCATTGTTTGGTAGTCATTAGACTGAATTTGTTTACTCTCATTTTATAAGAGCTTAGACTTTAATGTTTGCTACTCGCAAACAAGTCAGTTATTTGTGCTCGAACTAGGCTAGATATATATAATGAGTATAAATTTCATATGTTCATATATATACATATATAAAGTCTACAAACGAATAGTACAGATATTATTTCAATGAGGCGCAAAATCCATTTTTTTTACCACAAAAATGTTGTAATATTAATTCAGTAATAGATTTTTAAATCACCCACTGAAATTATTTATCAAGAACTGCGTACAAGCTCTATACAGGATGCCTAATCTACAAGCACTCATATTTAACTCTAAAGAAAAGATAATCTTAAAAAAAAAGCAAGAAATATCATGTTGAGTAATACTTCTCCATTGAGGTTTTTAACAATGAATTTTGGAACACTGGTACCGAGTTACACCAAGAAGATATGAACAGGAATCGGATGCGGGATAATACGAATAATGTTTCAAAAATTCACTTGGTTTCTCCCAACTTGTCCCAATTAACAACATTCTTTATTCTTAGTTTTGTACGTTGATTGTATATATATGTATATATATCATCAGTTTGCTTTTTACGCTTTTGGTACACACACTTTTAGTCCGTAATTTACGATAAATTCATGTTCGGCCTGACGCTCGACATTTTATGGCTCTATTTTTTTTATTAGACGCGTTTTGTTACTTGTTTTTATTTTCGCACTTTTCTGGTTCGTCACTTTACGATCTGGCTGCTCTCACACAATGTTATAATTCATTATTATTATTATTTTATAATTGTGCCACGGATCGACTGGGGACAGAGCGCGTTTTAATGGAAAGTGCAAAACTTACTGTGCCAGCAACGAAATAACCACACTCGGTAAGATATCTGAGTATATATGATTTTTTTACATGCCCATTCCATAGATAGGCAATCTGTATCTGTGGCACGATAATGCTTATAAATAAGATAATATGATTTGATAATGGTATTTACCATATGCAGAAACCGAAGCCGTAAGGCAGCTCAGCTGGGCTGTGTAAGTCGCTGGAGTTTCTGCTGGCCATATAATGTATAAGAAATGCACGTTTTCCATTAGATTTCCCCTGGCTGCGGTGCACCTAATTAAATGTTTGACATCTGCCTGATTTATTTAGCGTGAAAATGTTGAAAATGCCTCGATTACTGGCCCAAAGGGCATACCATATATGCATATATGTATGGGTTCAGGTAGTTAATGTTCGGTTCAGGTCTGAGTTGTGCAAACAGATTGCATTTAGAGCAGTCCAACCCCCCACCCTGTGCTCCTCGGTTCCTTTCTGTTTGTTGTTGACTTGACTGCTTTTTGATGTCTTCTTCGGGTGGTTACGTTATTGGTGTTGCTGTTTTTTTCGTGGCCTTATCGCCAACTGACGTTTGTACTTCAGAATGTGTACTTAAGATAATGAAAATGGGGAAGAAGCGGCCAGGCCTCGAAACGACACGAAGGGGGCTACACATCCACATCAGCAGCAACTCAAATGAAAAAGAATGTCACCGGGTACGATTTGAACTTTCAATATACCTATAATTTCACCCGCTGGCCATAGACTTATTTGTGCCATAGATCACTTGGTTGGATAAGATCGATGGAATCTTTTTTTTCGGCCCAAAAACTGCACTTCATGCTCTGCGTTTGGCGAAATTCGTGGAAATTATTTTGAGGTTCTTTTTTGGTATCAGGCAGCAGTTAATAAGCATATTCTAATCTAATCAGCGGATCGTTAATTAACTTCCAAAGTTGACTTTCGCTTTCTCAAGTGTTACTTGAGCGTTGCTTTGGCAGTTGGAATTTATACACAATGCCCGGCAGTATCTTATCGATGAGCCAAAGATCAAATTTTAAAATTCCCGAAAAACACCGCAAAAGTTCTTATATAAATGGCTGATTTCATTAAGTACACTTTATAGATATCTGCCAATCCAGTAATCCGTAAATTATATATATATATTTCTTTACACATTATTTATTTAAAAATCACATCACAGTTTCACAGATTGGTATCCTTTTTGTTCAATTCTTTCGAGACGGACGCGCAAAGGCAATGTTTCCATGTTGAAAATCCCAGTTACACTCACCAACTGTGATTAGATTCCATGCCGCTGGGCGTCCAAACTTAAGGAATTACTGAAAAATTCAAATTATTATCGCTTATTATCTTGGGACATTATCAGTTCAAACACTGATATACTGATACAGACCGCGAGAGAGAGCCATGCCCAGAACCAGAACCAGAAACAGAAACAGAACCAGAACCCCGACCCAAACTGGAAGTGGAACCTTAACTGGCTGCAGATACCCCAAACTGATACCGATATCCTACCAAAGGCAACAACAACAACCTCCAATTGATAGCAAATCTTCATTATCTTATAAATACGGCTGCATTGGTGGTCGTGTATCGCTAAAAAGCCAAGATTAGATACTTTTATCTAGCTGGGTCAACCTCGTCCCCATCCCCATCCCCAAACCCATTCCCATTCACAATCCCATCCCCCCAAGAAATTGGCGACGTCACAGATAGAGTTCCCCATTATCGGTTAAGCAAATTCCCAGTCCCACGCGGATGTTTGTCCAAGAGGAGCGTTGGTGTGGGAGTAGGTTAAGTAGCCGCCACCGATTGACTTATGATTTCGGTTTGTTGGGGGCCTGCCCCAGGAGGAATATATCTCTCTGTTCGCCAGTTGGGTAGTCGAAATCTCTGTTAAGATACGTTAACTTATCTAAGGCCACTATCTATTCTCAGATATTCGATATGTCCCTCTATGTATACACATACATAAATGGGGCTGTATTAGAGGCGTCGGCGATAGGAAAAATCGCTTTGGTTGATAGGAGCAATCAGCGGGTGTGCAACACCCACCGGAGTTTTCATTCAATAGGAGCATTTCCTCAGGCCACCGCGGAAAAGTGACATCGCACCTCGGGCATTCTTATATTCTTGCATATATAAAAGCGGTGGCAACAAAAATCTACCCATAAATTTCTCATGGCTAAATCGCACTTAGAAAACACCATTCGCTCGAGGTTTCAGTGCGACCAGTAAAAAGCGAACAACAAAATGTCAGACCTCTCATAAGTAATAAATAATGTTTGAATGCGTTTTGGGGTCGCTGGAGTCGTCGGTTAACCAGCTACCTACCCAGACCCAAAGTCAGACCCCAGCACGTAGCCGTAACCGTACTCAGGCCCCGGTTACCCACTCCAACTGGCGATCCCAATCAACCCCGGTAGCCATGATTGTTAACGTTAATGGCGTCGATGTCGCTGTTGTGGCTGCCTTCGTCCCACGTCCCACATGGGCCATGCCAAAACAACAATGAGCACCTCTCGCGGATTATTATGGATTGCCAGTTATAATGTTGAGTCACGGCCTGGCCCCATTGGCAAACAAAGGTGCGTATACTCAACAATCGCGAGAGCTTCGCACCGAAGACGCTACTGCCATTCGCAAGTGAATATATCGGGGATCTGTATGGCATATATTTTCTATCCAAAACATATGTTAATTCGCCATTATAATTTATTATTTTACTGTTCTGTATTAATTTTCAAAACTAAAATCAAGGAAAATTTTCTCCTCTTTTTTACTTTTTCTAAAAAATAAAAAACTCAATATCTAGTATGTACAAGATATGTTTAAGGCTTAAGTTTCCCATCTATACAGCCATCGACATAAATAAAAAAGTAAAAGTATATCATTCAAATACTTCATATTTACTAAAATCCAAACTTCAAATAAATAATCAACTACATTAAACATTTGTAAGATCCAAGCGGTATAAAGTCTTATATTCAATATTTAAAATAATTATACTTGTAGATTAAATCTAAAATAATTTGGGAACTTTGTATTTTGGTTTAAAGTCAAGTCAACGGTTAGTCGCCTAAGATGTGAACTATAATTTAACACCGTTTTTATTAGAGATTCTAAATTATTTTTGAATGTATATATACAGATATATTTCATAACACCATATACCACCCGTTGGCTTCTCCATTGACTTAAATTGATAAATTCTTCATAATAACTCTTCTTTTTGCTCTGGTATCAAAACTTTCCCCTGACTCATTCGAAAGATATATCAGTGTCAGAGTGCCCAATCCATAAATATTCGAATGCACAATCGTTAACCAAGTGACAACTGCTCGGATCGTAAACAAAGAAAGCTTAACTCTTTCACCAGCTCCTTCTGGGGAATCGAACCTCCTGTTCGTCCAGTGGTTTTCAATATCTCCTCCCCGATTTCTCTGCCATTTCCCTGGCATTGCGAAGTGCGCAGTTCCATTTTCATAACTCATGTCCGAAATGTCGGTAGCGTGCCTTTGGCGGATGATTTATGACCCCGGCGGGTTAATAGAATTTACTTGAACCCAATTTGGCTGCGGTCGAGAAGCGCAGAATGCAGCCGCCAAAAGGGAGAGCCATTACAGAAACTTCCATTTCCATTCCGCCTTAATTCGATTGAGCCACGCCATTGCGGACTGGCAGGGATTGGGCAACCATTCGGGGTTGGATCATCGTCGGGGAGTGGAGTGGTGTGGAGTGGGCTCGGATCGCACCCCTTCCGCTGGCTATAATTAAAACTATGGCGCACGCCTTTGTTGGCACTGGGGCATTTAATTTCCAAAGAGTTCTTCCCCTTATCAGAACAGCCCGTTCGCCGCCAAACAAAATGGGAAAAAAACAAAAGTATAAAAATAATATTATTATGACAAAAGAAGAACAGAATGGTACAATATATAAATTAAATTCCATAGCGTCATTCCGGAGACAGATCGGCGATACTGTCAACTGGCCAAGAACACTTGTGGGTAGATAAGTTTCTGGCTTTTGTTTTTTGGTTCTCGGTTTTTGGTTCTCGGTTTGCTTGGGGCTTTCATTGGCGCACCACTTGAAACTGCACGGATGTGGACAAGTTGAAGGGTGTGCGATTCCGGACGATTCCGTCCACGATATGCCGTGGTCAGCAATCTTAAGACTCTGTCTGTTCTGCCGCCCCTAAGTCTTGCGTCTTAGGGTCGTAAATTCGCTGGCAAAGCGCCTAAAGCCCGACGCGGCGGTGCCATCAATTAGGGTATTAATTGCCCGGCTCTGCCAGGCCAAAAAAAAAATGAACTCGATGAGTCAGTTTGTCCCGGGGATCCAGTTTGTTTAGGGGGCGACTGCCGTCGGAGTGTCCTCCTCTCGCATTAATCTCCTGTAATGTTGAATTCGTGTTGCGTTTGTAGCGCCATTTGTAAGGCGACGCCGGGCGATCGAAACTGGCATTGCTGTCAGCTTTTTGAGTGATTAATCACTGCCAAGATATTTTGCGACATGCAGCAGCAGCTACTATTAGATACTTTTTGTCTGTCGGTTTTGCTCTTAAGATTTGCCCATGATTTATGCGCCACATGAGTTGCAACAATTAAAATTATCGCTTCAAGCGATTTCCATTCATGGGAGGAGCAGAAAGTTGCCAGTAATTGTGGCATTATAAGCAACTCAGGAGGGAAGCTCTTGCTCAGCTCGGCTGTGCATGTTAATGGCCGTCATATATCTGCTTGTTTTATGACTTTAACTATAAACAATTTATGATTTGCTGGGCCAACTTGGCTGGGTGTCCAAGATATGCGACTAACTCCCAGATTGCTGCTCTTGAAAGGAGTGAAAGCCACGAGTATGGATGTTGGGGTTTAACTTTAAGTGGGAAAAATAACCAATTATCATGATTAATATATAGTTTTTTTCACAGAAGTTTTAAATCGAAATGGTAGGAGAAAAATAACGGAGAAACTTTATAGGAAATGCCCGGTTTCTAAAAACCGTTCAAATATTATAATGTATAATGTATTACAAAATACAATTTGATTTGTGCTAGCACAAGATACATTGTTATATTATTGAAAGAGTTGTATATAATACCTGACCAGCTAGTTTAAATAACAAAGATGTATTTAATATTAACATTTTCAAAATGTGATCAGAAACGGAAAAATCATAGAACAATGTTTCATTCATAAGAATTCAAGACAAGTATTAAATATTACTGCCATTGAAAATATATAATATGGAAAACCAATTCAAATGTTTTCTAATAACCACACCGATAAGAAATTGTAAGTCGTTCTTGAAAATTAATCATTGAGTAATCATTATATTGAATCTTTGCTTACAAAGTATCAGTAATGGATTGTTCGAAAAATGTATCAAAAAATCTGATCGAGCACTCCACTTGCACAGCCACTTGAAACCCAATCTTTCACAGACTGGTGACATTTCGGAGACTTGGCAATGTATTCCCAGCACCTGATCCTCGACCACATGTGTCCCTGCCACCTGCCTCCTGCCCCTCCTGCCCCTCCACCCCATCGATTTTCATTAGTTACAACACTCGAGGGGCGATTGTGAAGTGGGAAATTGGGGAAGTGGAGCGGTCGAGTTGTCAAAGCGGCCCACATTCGAGCAAGTAAGTGTTCGTGGGGTCATATAAAGCTTCATGCCCATGCCCAGTCCCATGCCCAGACCCATGCCCAGACCCATGCCCAGACCCATGCCCAGATCCATGGCAAGACCCATACCCAGACCCACTTTCCAGGCCCAAGCCCGATCCGCTGGCATTGTGTTGACGTTGACTAACGTTGGCCGTGTTTATTAGTTTGCCAGAAAAGTGTTTTATGAGTGCAATTAGAAAATGCGCTAGACTAAATTGCACAATTGACAAATAGCTGGGGTGGTATGGTGGGGGTGGCGGTGAATTCCGGGCTGGAATTGGAATCAAATGTGTGTGCCTGGGCTGAACTGTGCCGGCTGGTGGGTCTCTTGACGCCACTCTTCGGAACATCGGCACATCGGCACACCGGCACACATCGGAACATGGAAACTTGGGAACGGCGGCCGAGCACGCAGGCGCAATTTGTATCTCACGGATACTTATCGCATCCGAGGCACCAACACTCGTGAACTGACTTATCGCAAATAAGGCGATAAGATAACCAATACCAGGTCGGGCGGTACAGAATAAATCATAACGCTGCCACACGGACGGGACCGCGCACCCACACAGGTGTGGGTCCGCCCAACCGCAGAGGTGCTGTGTGCGCATCGGTGTGGGTAGCTAATTGGGCGGCAGACGCGCGGCAGGCACAGGCACAGGCACCGCATTGCGTCGCCGTCGTTGTTGTCATCGCAAGTGAGGTGCTCAGTGCTCAGTGCCCAGAACCACCGCCAAATAGCACTTCGTATCACTGCTAACCGCTAAAGGTTGCGCGCGGGAAAACAGCCACCATCGCCATACGGATGACAGCACCATATCCAGATCGCCCCCAAAGTTCCTGCCGTTTTACTCAATTGGCGCGCCTAAATTTAAACAAGAAGTGTATCTCGGCAACCCAGAAAAACACCTGGACACGCCGTGCATGTGATAACTTTTGAAAAACAACGAAACAAAAAACACAACAGAACTGAATTCAAGTGATAAAAAACCAAACTAAGATAAAACGCTGGAGCAAAGCCAAAGAAGCGCCGAGGGTAAATCAATTTGATGGTCTGCAAAACTATCTCAACGAGTTTAAAAATGCAGCTGAAGGTGGGTAACACAAAACTGTACAACTGTACAAATTATTATATAAATTAGCAATGAAACTTACGAGATTTTTGTGAAATGGAATTGTGATAAAAATCATTTTTTAGCGCATTTCGGTTTTGGTTTGCGTTTTCCCTTTTTTTTGTGCATTAGTCCTTTTTTTAATAACCTTTTTTGATTTACTGTTGACGAATTTTTACTATTTATTTCTTAAATAACAAAAATTCAATCCCAGAATGTGATCGGCTCACTTAATAAATTAAGCAGCCAAATGTGAACTCTTTTTTTAATACCTTTTTGGGACTCAATTTACGAGATCTCTATAAGCCTATCTATCATTTCAACTTTGTTAAAAAGACAAGATCATAAAAAGTTTTTAACGTTTTCTCACACAAGTTCATTAAGCTAAATAGACAAGCCATATGGGGCCATAAAATGGGACTCTTAAAGTTTAAAGATCAGCCGCAAAACACGAATAAATATTACTTTATTAATTAATGGAGAGTTAAGAGCTTTAAAATGGATTTATAGCTGAAAAAACGTTTAAAGAAATCCCATACGTTTCATATCCTTTCAAGTGCTAAATCAGAAAAAGATTTTCAGTCAGTAAACGGCAGCGGTATAGATATTATTTTCAGTCCTAGCGCCGGAGAATGAGATAAGGCAAATTGATTTATAATGAATGACTCATCTGGGATGCAGCGGCAAAACTGCGACACTTATTTTTTGTGTCCGCTCTTAAAAGAAAAACCGAACCCATTAAGAAAACGAGAATGAGAACCAAAACGAAAACGAAAACGGGGCAACAAAAAAGCAAGTTAAATGTGGAAAGATGGCTAATCTTTATGAGGCCCAAATTCAGCTGCGATCGGAGGTGGCGTCAAAATACCTTTGACAAAAATAAAATTTGAAACACGCTAGCCGACTTCGACATTTGCTTCATTCATGAAAAAAAAGGACACTTTTCAGTTGGACACACGGATAATGTGAAATTTATGTCAATCTTATCACCTCGCTTTGGTCCTGGTCCTGGTTTTCGTCCTGGTTCTCGTCCTGGTTCTTATCCCTGCCCCGAGCCTATCCTTCGGGGTCGGGGTGGGTTCATGAATGAAGCGGCGATTGCCAACCCTTGGCCCATTTGGGGGTTACTTTTCCCAGCCGGAAGTGGCCAGCCGGCCAATGGAAAGCCAGTCCGTTAACAGTTGCTCAATGGCGGCATCGATAGTTGCAGTTCCAGTTGCAGATACTTTTATTAGACACGCGTCACGTCGCGTCGCCAGTTGACAGTTGATGGCTGATAGGACGAGGGCGAAGGTTGCGATTGATGGCCCTTTAATAGAGCTGTAAATGCAGCTGGCAGCCGAACCGCTTATCTCACTTTCATTAGTTGCTGCAACTGCAATGGACTCTAATTAATCGGGGGATCTTCCAACGATGGGTAGATAGAAAGAGTAATAACTGCCTTTTTTATTTGAAGAAGGTTTCAGTATATCCAAAAGATGACTAGACTTGACTACAAAATTGTTTACTCTTTTCTCTGCTTTGAAGTTAATTTAAAAATAAACAGAGGCTAGTTAATTCTTAATGATGTAAGTTAAGGAAGTTGAAAAAAAAACGCATATGCTATCCAAATATGGAATGTTGAATATATCGTAATTTTCACTTCAAACTGTAGTTAGGTTAAAAAGTTAAAGGTTTTAGGTATATATCCCACACGATCAAAATAAAAGCTTTTTTAGAAGATCTATTAAATATAAAGTTAGTATATATATATATATATTTCCCTAAATTAATTATTTTTTACATTTTAAGCTCTCAGATACAGATAAAAATGTAAAACTTTTAAATACCTCACAAATCATTTGTTGGAAACTCTGGTATTATGGACTTGTTAAATTTATTTCAAAGAAATAACAATTTTCAATTTACAAAGTATGCGAAATTGTATTATCTGAAATAAATATTTAGTATATATCGCTCCAATGCATTACAGAAATGTGGAGCAAGTCTAAAAATCATTGAATGTTGGGTCAGAGCTGCCCTCGAGATTTGCTCAACCACAAACCCAAGCTCAACGAAAGCGAAATGAGGTGCGATTATATATAGCCGATATCTTTTGTTTATATAGATAAAGTCGGAGCCTATGTGTGTGTGTGAGTGGCTGTGGGTGTGACTGGGCAGATTTCATTCATAAGTTCAGCGGGCACCACACCCTCGCAACGGTCTTGACTAAGCCGAGCAAATAGCACATGCCACTCGCGGGGTGACAAACAACTCTTGCCCAACTTATTGTAATTCTTGGATTTATCTGTCCCTATTGATGACGTAGGGATTCCAACCATGACCTCTCAGTCTCAGGCCCAGCAGCAGCAGCTACTGATTATGTACATTGATAGCGCCCGGATAAGATATTGTCCGTATCGTTCGGCCGTAGTATCTTAACTTTTTCGCGGTACATGGCACGTGCATGGGGGCATACCTATCGTACTACTATATACACACTCAAAGTCGGGTTTATCTACAGTTGGCCAGCCGATTGTCAAAGTGACGTTTGCACCACATTATCTCGCCCTCTTTCCTCCTCAGGGAATTCTTTGAACTTTGGCCAAGACGTCTAATGCACTAACTTTTCCCCTTAACAACTTCCTCTTCTATTTCTTTTACGTAAATAGTTTAACTTTGTACCTAGTAAGCGGGTAATTTTTCGTTTTTATGACTGTTAACACATCGACGAGTTCAATGAATCATGGTTGGCCTTAGCTTGTATCCACACATAAAATGTATCAATCATTTGTGCCAAGTCAGCGAAAAGTTCTGTGTAAAATGAATCAATTATAATTTAACGGAAGGTAAATAAGAATTTGGGGTTTACTTAAAATGGGAATTTCTTTGAAGTTACCAAACAGATTGAATGTAAACTAGAAGCTTCTGTTCGATGGTATTCTATGAATAAATAATTTATTATTGGGAAATCAAAGTTTACATAAAGTGATGAATCGTTCCAAAGCTACCGGATGTAGATGTTGACAAGTTTTTTTAAAATTAAATATTTATTTATCTAGTATAAAAGCCATGTTTCGAACAATCTTGGGTTACGAACGTTATCTCCAAATTATATTTTATTTTACAAAATGCTGAAATTTAAAAATTATTCTGATAAATACTTCTAGTAAAGATTGTACTTGAAGTGAAGCATTTTTTTAAAATGGTATAGAACCACATCAGTAGTTCATGAAAAAATATATTAAATAAACTTTGAGACCCAGATATTTATACTCTTAAGCAATATAAATGTTATTAATATGCATTGAGGAGTTTGAAATAATTATTTTAATTAGTTTTCCTTTCTGAATATAACACATACTTGCTGGCTTACCATCCTTGAATATTGCCATTGATTTCCCCAGACGTGTGTGTATTGAACATGGGTTACACATGGGCACACAAGTTATATTGCATATTTATAGCTCTAGTAAAGGTGAAGCCCACCTGAAAGCCTCCCAGCTATATGACACTTGTGAAGAGCAGGCGGGCGGCAAATTCCAGCCGGGCCGCATCGTGAATCAGGTGACAGTGACGATCGAATGTGTTGACACAAGTTCGAGGATGGGGCTGTGGTGGAGGTGCAAGTGGAAGTGGATGTGGAAGTGCCACCCCCAACGGAATGAGGTCATAAACCCAAGTCGACTGACGTACGGCGGGGAAAGCAAAACGATTTTATGGCCAGCTTTAATTTCCGCCAACAACCAAAAACAAAAAAACAAAACCCGAATACACAACGAAAATGAAAACGAAACCAAGAAACCGCCGCACTGAGTTTAGGGTTCTGTGAGCAAATACTTCTTCTGGTGGAAATGAAATGGAATAAAAGTGAAAAATGTGTTCGACAATGTTGACACTGAGCGGCCGAAAGGAGAGGGGCCGTCTTGAAGCCCGTCTCCGTTTCTGGTACTTTATGGTTGTAGGCGACAAATTGAGCTGTGAGTCGCGAGAGCGGGCGGCCTTTTTGAAGTCCGACTCAGACGTTTTGGCCCGGGCCGCGTTTGTTGACTTTTGTGGCGGAAATCGCGGCGGCCAGTTCGCACTGCGTGGCCGGAACTGGAGCCACACTTTTGAGGCAGGCCGAGCGAAACATTCAACACTTGTCGCTTGCTCATTGCAGATGGAACAGCAGACAACGCAGCAGCAGCAGCAGCAGCAACAATTGCAACAGCAGCAGCAGCAGCAACAGCAGACGGTTCTGACCAAGCAGCAGCTCCAATTGCTGGACAAGATCAAGCTCGAGTCCAGCAACGGAGCCGAGCAGCTGTCGCAGCAGGCTGCCAGCAATCTGGAGGAGCAACAGGAGCAGCAGCAACAGCAGCAGCAACCTGCAACATCCGTGGGCGTCGTGGTGCAGACGAGTCAGGCGGGCGTCAGCGAGCCGGAGGAGCAGTACGTGGTGGTGCCACGGATCCAGCGGCGCATCCTCACCACAGCGGGCACACTGTAAGTATAGAAAAAATCACTAGAGGGGAGGAAAGTGTTTGAATATTTCGCGAAAAAACAATATCATCGAGGTTTTCAGTTTTAGAGTCATGTGTTTTATTTGTTTTTGGACCGTACCGTTCTGTCAATCGTTTTTCGAATTGTAGTTGCTTAGTACTATCATGAATTAATACAAATATTTCGCTAATTCCAAAAGAACGGTTACTATGATAATAGGTATTACAAATTTTTTTTAAGCATTAGGTAACACAATATTTTTGCCTTCTGATTTGAATTAAAATTAACATAATTTTAATATTACTTAATGAACTAACTTATACTTTAACTTATAGGAAAGAGAAAATATAGGGATAATTTGGTGTTATTTACACAATGTATTTCGTCAGAAATGGATTAAATATTTATATGATATTGCATTTATTATCTGTGAGTTTTTAGTGTATATTATTTTCATTATTTTTCCTATTTCAACTAAAATATTTGAATAAAAAAGCTTATAGTTGAAATTGTATAAAATATGTTTATTTAATAGTTGTTGTTATGTTGTTCCATTACCATATTAAGTAATATTAAAATTTCAGTGAGCTGAACGAAGCCCGTGAAGGAGAGCCGAGCACAAACGCCAGCAACGCGAGTTCGGGATCCGCTCCGGATAGCCACATCGAGTACCAGCGCAGTGCGCACCACTCGCCCGGAGCCACCCACTACGTACAGATGGCGCCACGCAACGCGGAGGTGCCGGAGCAGGTGGGAACCGCCGCCGGAGCTCCACCCGGTGCCATATTCGCCTATCCCTCCGGGCAGATCATCTGCAGCGGCGACGATGTGGCGGCCATTAAGATCGAGACCATCGAGAAGGGCGAGGCGGCGGGGGAGTCACAGCAACAGCAGCAGCAACTGCAGCAACACCAGCAGCAGCAGCAGCAACAGCAATGTCCCACGCCCAATGGCGGCAGCTATGGAGAGACCATAGTTATCAGCAGCGAGGCGGAGGCACTGCAGCATCACCACCAGCAGCAGCAGCAGCAGCACCAGCAGCAGCAACAACACCACCAGCATCAGGCGGCAGTTGCAGCAGCGGCGGCCCAGGCGGTTCACATAGCCACCAGTTCGCATGGCGGCACCGTGCGCTTCGTCACGGAGGACGGACGCTTCACCACCGCCGGACCGGAGACGTCCGCCTCGAATCTGTACTACGATGCCCCCGTGGTGGATGGCAGTGTGCACGCCAACGAGTCCAAGACGTACGCCGATCTGGGCAACGCCTACACCCCATTCCCCCCAGCTCCAGCTTCAATAGCAACAGCTATGCGGCCACTCTGCAGCAGGGCAACACCATCTACAGTGTACCGGGCACCGGGCAGTTCCTGGCCAAGTCCGAGTCCGGCCTCAACCAGCTGCGCCAGGCCGGTCCGGCCACCTTCCAGACGATATCCTTCAACGACAGCGGCAACCCCATCGAGGCCCTGTGGACCTCACCCGCTCCGCCGGAGTACCAGAATGTGCCTTTCGTAAGTAGTTACTAGTCAACTAACGGAGTAAAATTATCTGACCATAAGACTATCATTTAAGAATAACTATTAGAATTAAACAAATGTTCTCGAAACCAAGACTAAATAATGACAAAAGATAACACTTAGGCCTTGATGAAAGGATGAAAAAGAACGTAAGACAAATCAAGACTTAAAACTGCTAACGCCTATTACTAAAATTAAAAAAAAAGTTATCCAATCAGATTTCTGATTTTTTGTTCGAAACTATATTGAACCAAATGTTTGATTGTATTATACATTTTGTAAATTTATTATTGTAAATTTATTATTGAAAGTAATTATTCAGTAAATTTGATTTCAATATAAGCAACATAAGAAAAAATTATTTAGAATTCCAACTTGGAAATTCTTGAATTTATATTGTATTTAAAGCGTAGTATTTTATTTAAATTTTATTTTTATGCCATTAACTAACTTATCTTCTCTGTGCTCCACAGGGCAGCTTCCACCCGCAGGTAATTGATGAGTACACCACCGGCAACATGACCACCACCCACTGGTCGCCCGCCGGGAGCATCGGACAGTACGATGGGAGCCTGGTGGCGACCTCGTCCACCTCGTCGCCCAACCACGAGCTCAAGTGCGAGAACTGCCACTCGCCGTTGATGCGCAAGGGCGTCGAGTACTTCTGCCCCAACTGCCCGCCCTTCATGCGGATGGCGCCGCGCATGCCCCAGCGGCAGGCGAAGCCCAAGGCCGCCGCCGCCCCCAACAACCGGCGCAACGGGGTCACCTGCGCCAACTGCCAGACCAACTCGACCACGCTGTGGCGCCGCAACAACGAGGGGAATCCGGTGTGCAACGCTTGCGGGCTGTACTTCAAGCTGCACAACATGAACCGCCCACTCTCGATGAAGAAGGAGGGCATCCAGAAGCGGAAGCGCAAGCCAAAGAACAACGGAGGAGCTCCCATGCACCGGGCACCGCTGCCAAGTAAGTACGCCTATCGTGGAATAAGAAGGGTATTTTATAGGCTAGGTATCTATGACTTTTAAAAAACCTAAATACGTAAATCATCAAATGATCAAATGATTATTTTAGAGGACAAAAAGCTACTACATTGATTTCTCGAAAATGTAATGGTATTTTGCTTTAATATTAGGTAACCGGGTTAAAAAAAAGAAATAGACAATCATATAAAAAGTTTGATTTAATAATTTTTAAAATCAACAAAGTTATAATACAACTTTCTTCTCTAACCATTTAAAATGCAAATATACTCTGTCATATTTAAATAATATAAAATATATAGAAAGTAATTGGAGTTTTGACCTGTTTGTGCGGTCTTAGGATTTTTCCATTCCGAACTATTAAGGCAAGCAAAGAGGTGGCTTAAGCTTATGATTATGATAGGAGATCTCTAAATTAAGTTCTAATTTTAAATGTTAATTCTATTAGGGTATAATTATATATCTCAAATTTATACAATACTAATCCCAACTCTTGGCTTGTTCCTGTTCCCACCACCAGGCATGTCGCAAGGAGTCAACCTGATGGCGAATAGTCCGCTTTATCCATCCCAAGTGCCGGTGAGCATGCTGAATAGTCAGCAGAATGCCAGTCCGGAGCTGCACGACATGTCGACGACGGGTCCGGCGGGTGGACCCCGGGTGGTGGCCATCTCCCTCAACTCGTCGGCCCCGCCCACCGCCGACGGAACGCTCAACATGTCCGCTCGTCACCACGTGACGGGTGAGAGCCACTCGCCCTACAGTCAGCACTCGACGTCGACGCCCCAAAGCCAGTCGCCGCATCTGCCCAGCACAGTGGCGATAAACCGCCAGATAGTCCAGCCGTGAGTTGAGGATCTTCCTCTATCCCATTTCGATCTCTAATTATGATCTCTATTTTGTAAAACCCCACAGAGTACCCACAATCGAAAGCGGTCGCAGTTCCAACAGTGAGCTGACCCCCAGCGTAATCACGCGCACTGGACTCCCAGAGCGATCATCGAATAACTAAGCTAACCAACTAACCCTAAACTTAACTACAAACTAAAGTAATCTAACGTAATCGTAACCAAAATGTCAAAATTGCCAAAATATTTATTTAAGCCCTAGCCATAGATATATAGAGCCAAGACCAATGTCCCAGTTAGAGGAAGAAATACTTTTCGTCTTCCTCCTTTTTAGTCAACTGCTTACAGCAAAAATAGTTTGAAATGATTTGTGCCAATCACTTAGGATCACTTTGGATCCACAGCGCTGTACTCTAGAGGTAGTTTAGCGAAAAACAGCACAAGCCCATAAAGAAGCCTACGATTTTGTATGTTTAAGCCTCTTTTTTAATTCAACAAAATAAATAAGTTGTAAACACAAGACACTCGGCACTTTGATGGCTCTACCAGGTTGCAGGGAACTGCACTGGATCTCGTTATATTTCATTGTCAACAATTTGGCAGCCAACCAAATTGATCCAAATTAATTTTAATGACCCCCACAGACCACAGCGCGAGACCATAAAATCTTAACAGGTCGGAAAGCGAAAAGCCCCTTGCGATCGGGTACCCAGTTCAAAAGATCCCCGGAGCAGTGTCTAAATAGCGATTTGGTGTCATCGCTTAAAAGCCTGTCCGACGCACAACGCCGCCGCCGAGTAACGCCACCGCCTGCAGCCGCTGCCTTTGATCTGCTGATCCTCTGTCGGCGGTATGGTATGGTATGGTATGGTATGGATATGGTATGGTTTTTGGTATGGGTACGGTATGGGTATGGTATGGCAAAAATGCCCCACGGCCCGAAGATGGAGTTCAGTTCGCCAGTGCGGCCGAAGGAGGTATATTATTAACGCCTTGGGTTGGGGTCTCCACAGTCCGCAGCCTTCTTTTTGTTTTTGGCGTACGCTCGATCAATTAGGCAAACTTGTTTTACGACCGCTTTTATTAGCGTCCGCTCTGGCCGGCGCTCCAAGTTTACCGACTCCAACTAAAGCTGCGGCTCAAAAGGAGGCTTTAAAGTTGTGTTTGTGGTTTCGGATTCGGTTGTGGTTGTGCCTCTGGGACTGGGGTGCGAATGAGTAATGAGACGGAGGTCCCAGCACCCGGCAGCTATGGAATGTGTTGGAAAAAATTATGTGCAGCGTCAAGTTGTGCAAGTGGAATGGAATGGCTTTGAATGGAATGGAATGAAATGCTCTGGACTAGTGGAGCGATATTTTCGGGGTGGAAGTGAAATAGGGAAAGGTTTTCTTTAGCCTATGATATAAAAATATGACTAGGCATAAGGAAGGAATCCTCGTCGGTTTTGAAGAAATTCATATTTTTGGCAGATTTTGTTATCAACTCAAGTTTTGGTTTTTGATTAAAATTCTGGGAAAAGGGTAAAATGTTGGTATATTATACATCTATAATTTCGTTAATAAATTTCCAATCGATTGGCATTCACAGGAAAACATTTCTTAGGTGCTCCGATGCCTAAAACAATCATTCTCTTGGTTTTAAGTCTAACGTTAGAACAAAAAATCTTTAATTTATAACCTAAATCCAGAAAAATCCACTGGATATTCGGTTTTTTGATAAAAACTCTGGGAAATAATGTTCAAATGTTGGAATGTCATACCTCGTTGAACTCGTTTTAAAATTTCCAATCGATTGGTATTCACAGCTAAAAAAAATAATGTGAGGCCCATTTTTGTAAAAAATGATGATGAAACCTCTTACAAAAAATGCAAAAATCGAAAAAATAACTAATTTTTTCCAAATTCAAACTGGAATGGATTGGTAGGTCCTCAGCTGCATAAAACTGTAATTTTTTGACCGTGGCTCTTGTTTTGGCTAAACTAGAACCAAAAAGCCCCTATTTTTATTTTTTAAAACAATGGGAAACAATGGTAAATGGCATTTACCGACCGGAAAGGAGCAGCTACTTCATACGCTTTTTAATTAGTCCCGACAGACACACTCAAGGAATATCGGAATCGCAATTGTATTTATGCTTTAATAACTCGGCAATCCATAATAAGCGAACCACTAATTGCTGCCGCACCTGTGGCCAGCGGCACATCCTCTGCAGCAGCGAATTAAAACATTAGCGGCCAACCTGTTCCATTTCCCATTTCCATGGCGATGTGCGCGGGGGGGCGGAGGGGCGGCGAGACCGTAAAATAATAATTCAATGTGACAGGCAACAAGATACGACAGCGGGCGCCATTTTTCAGATGCCACCACGCCGCACTCCCCTTTTGCCGATCTCCTGGCACACTTACCATGCAAGTTGCAACGCTCTGACATTATCGCTGGAATTATGACAGACGTACAACGGCGCAAGAAATGAGGGACTCGCTGGGGGAAAAAAAGCGATCCGCTAATCTCCGGAGCCTTGCATGCATTTGAATTTCTATTAAGTTAATTGCAATTGGCCAAGGCGAACGCGCATTTGTTCATGTCCAATAACAGTTAAGTAACGATTGTTTTTTACACAGAAAGAAAAAATATACATGAAATGATGTGAGGAACAATAGATTATTGTAAATATCATTTCTGACCTTATACTAACATATCAGTTTTTTATATGAGTTGCAATTATTGATATGATGTGAAGAACAATAGCAAATCAACTTTCAATATCAACATGACTTAAAGAGAAACAATATTTTTAAACATTTTATTCTGATATTACTGGCAATAATCTATTCTAAATCTTTTGCTAAACTTCATAAGCGACCATTTACATAAAAAAGATATCTCCAAATATTTATTAAATGTTTTTTTTCCGTGCAGATATGATGTGAATAGATTGGGAGGGCAGGGCAGGGTATGCCAGGGGGGCATAAAAGCCAACATAAAGTCGAAACTGTCAACTCTCCCACTCCCTTTGCATTTAATTAGCCAGCGTTGACCACCTAGCACGGCGGCCTCTTGAACCCGCCTCGAACTGGATCTCGAACCCGAAAAGTCGAAAAGTCGAGAAGACGAAAACCCTAAACCGGGTCCGAGGCGCCACTTAGCCAACTTCAAAGTGCGGCCGCAGTCGCGGGTTGGCTGCATTGCATCTTGGCCGGACTGCAAGCTACCATCATCGTCAGCGTCATCTTCATGGCTGGCATTACAAATCGACAAACGACACGAAAATGCGCTTTAACATCGCGCAGTTAAAATAGATAAAAGCCGATAGTCGGACGCCGCCGTCCAACTGCAAGTCCGTATAGTGAGGGTTTTCGAGGGAGTGGAGAGGGTCCAGGGGAACCCTAAGATCGGGATCGAATGGGAGTATCATTTGTTTTGGCCAAAGCTTGGGAGATCTAAAACAGGCAGATTATAGTTAAAAATGGTTTCTATTAGTTACCTATATATTTAAGCTTTCTAAGCATTTCAAACAGATTAATTGGATTTCGAGTTCTAGCTGATATGATATCTGAAGGAAACTTTGCTCATCTTTCAGAACATCACCCTTAAATAGTTTAGATTTTAGTTTCTGGTACAAAGACTGTTATTTAAATTATACTTTTTGAGTCCTGAAAATGTAACAAATTTATGTTTGTTCTTAATTAAGCAAGATATAAAGATGAATACCTATAATGATAGAAAATCGACATAAAATCAAAAAAAAAGTTCATAATCAATACTTTTTAGAAATCACCTTTTATATTTTTTTTACAATACTCTGAAATTAAATTTTAATTTGACAATAAATTGCTATTCCCCACTTCTTGATATACAATACACTGAAACACCAGCACTCAAATCCCCCGTCAAAACAAAAGACACACCCAAAGATCCAGTGACGTCACAAGAGCAGCAGCAGCATCGACTTAACCGCTTCGTTTTGATTTCTAGGAAAAAATATCGAAATTCCAAGAATTCACACGAAAGACAAAATGCGATTGCTTTGGAAGAGCCGCAAAAGCAGGGGCAGAGGTATGGATATGGATATCGGTATGGGTATGGATATGGGTATGAGGGTTAAGGTATTCCCTTGTCTCGACTCGGCCCTTATCACAACTCACGCGCGTCTCGTTTCATTTCGGTTTTCGGCTCGGACCCGAAATCACATTATCTTCGCTCTCCGTTGCGAGATGGCGACGCAGCTAATGGATACGCCGCATCCACAGACACATCCACACGGCCAGTCGCTATAAGGTATAACATATCACAGATGACGATGATGATGGGCCCGGATCGCTCGCTCCATCTCCCTCTGTCTCTTTCTGGAGAGACGCCGCCTGGAGGAAGATTGAAGATGCGGCGCTTATCGAGAAGGAGAAAAGCAGAAAACGAAAAGATGAAGCCCGAAAAGAGTTCAGGATAGGAGTTGCAGTCCAGTCCCCAGTCCGCAGTCCGCAGTCCGCAGTCCCATCTCCTCCGCATATTTCTGTGTCGTTGCTTATCGTCCGAGCTGCAGACTTTGCCCGCCGCTGCCCCTCTCCAAGATTCCTGGCCATCGCATTTGCATCACGGAATGCAACTTGGGCAAAATGAGCTGGGAAAGGGTTCTCGGAGCCCAGAAATGTGGCGCCAAAGGAAGCGTTGAAAATGGTACTTGATCTTGATCGCGATGACTCTGGCCGACTGTAATTTAGACGGCGCCTCGATCCTTGTTTCACACTAATGCACTTGCAGCTTTTAAATGTCACCACCAGGGGCACTCCTCCACTCAGATCACGATCACAACTTCTGATGGCCAGCTAGGCCACTTTGTGATCTTGTAATGCCCTCTGGTCTTAGCCCCTCCATTGACCTGCACTTTGGTGCACCGAACAAGCGAGTTGCTCGTGTGTATTCAATTGGAATAATTAGTGATATCAGTATGGCTTCACCTGTGGCGGGAGGAGATTTCGATTTGAGCGATTGGTGTGCAGTAATGGCACTGAGTTTTAAAATGCCTTTCAAAAATAGGATGTCAGTGCACGAATTTACCCTTTTTCTTTGTTATACCCTCTTGTTGGCATTGTTCTGAAAACCCCTTAAACATTTGAACTCGCATTTGGTTATACTGTTTTTAAATGATTTATTAATAATTTAGAATATATATATGCATTTATATATTTTTTATTGTCATAAATGATATCATTTATTTGCATTTATTATTAGAGTCTCATCACTAAAATTTCCTAAAACATACACAAAATTTAAAATATACATTTTACTGCAGATAAATTTAAAATGCAAAACAAAGATTGTTCAAATTCTTTGTTAAAAAGTCATCAGTTGATGTTCAATCATTAAATTTAGCAATAACCCAATAACAGCTATTTCAATTAGTTAATCATTTCATTAACGTTACCATGTTGGGATCGTTCACCAATGCGATGCATTGAAAAGCGATAAACTTTACGACCATCTGAAGACTTAACAACTTTGTTAGGCAGGCGCCACATCCACCACAAAAGTAAAGTGGGAAAGACCCCAGATATTGGCCATAACAATTACAATGTATGGCACCCACTTACGGACAGCATCGCTCATATCGAAACCGTGGAGCAAATCTATGACTGGCATCCTCTTCAATTAGGCGCCTGCGAAAATCCTGGATGGCTTTTCATTAGTTTATCGAACGGTCACGGATGGGGGAAATATTTCAAATACTGTCCCGAAAGTGGCCCCAACCAGTTGCAATTAAAGGTTCCTTCTCTTTAACAACTGGCGCCGCTTTCGCGGGCCCTTCAACGTGAGAAAATTCCGCTCGGAATTATATGGGCAAAATGTCTCGTTATCGAGCGCCAGCATACCTGAACAAAAATGTATGTGCGTATGCTTGAGATAGTGCCCAGGAACCCCAGCCACAGGCAACAAAAAGCGTAAATGTCAAAATGCCAAAATTAATTGCAATGGCAGTGCCGTGGATAAGACGCCAGAAGGAGGCGAAAGAGCCAGGGGTCCGGCCACCACTGCCACCTCAAGGAGTCAGAGTCGGAGTCGTAGTTGGAGTCTCCACAATACTCGGCCTCAAGCCACAGCCCACTTTCCGGGCGCCACAAAGCGGAGAATGGAGCTGGGCGAAGGTCAAGGGTGGAGTTGGGTAAGGTTAAGGGGGTCTTATTGTACTTTGAAATTTTATTTAAGTCTGGAATTATAAGCTATCAATCAATTATTAGAATCTTTAGTCCTACATATAAATATGAATATTAATAATGACTAAACATATCATATTTAAATTGTCCAATGCCAAATACAAATTATAATTTAATTTCAAAGCCAATCCAGCTTTTTATTAAGGATTTTGCAAACTATTAAATTTAAAGCTTTTATAAAAAACTATTAAAAATAATTAGGAATTATTTATTTATTTGGAATCCAAATATATTTTCTATAAACGTACAACAATTAAAATCAAAACTAAATTACCCGAACAAAAATACAATTGAGGTTTAACTTTTTTCAATATCATTATAATGACTAATGCAAGTTCGCATGTTACCATTGACAATCCCTAATTATTTAGTTAAAAACTTAAATTAGGATAGAAAATAAAATGTGCTAAGTTGATCACCTGATAAAAGGTAGCCCTACGATATATAAAACCCTTTTGGGGCGCCCCTGCTGGTAGCCACCATTACAAATTCTACCACTTTTGACCCTGCCGCGACGGACTGGCGGCTTCTGCCCCAGCCCACAACCTCGGCACGCCACACCCCAGAACCCCAATCCCCAACTCCAGAACCAGAGCCACAATCGAAACCAGACGCGGGCCTGGCCTCCAGCTGGGCAGGAGCGGGGCAGTCGGTTGTCATGGTTGTCGCGGTGGCTATCACGCCTGGAAATCAGCAGGACGTCGTTGCAGCCCGACGGAGCAACTTGCAACGGAAACCCGTTTCGGGTGCTGGTCCCCATTTTGAGGTGGAGTCAGCGTTGAGGCAGCTGCGCTGCGATTGGTCAGTTGGTTTGCCCCTGGGAGTGTTGTTGTGCTGTATCTCCTGCTGTTACCGAAGTTTCTTTCCCTCGCTCCCTCCGTCCGTCTGGCTTTCATTAAAGCTTCGCATAAATTTTGTTGCATGTTTGCGACGCTTCATGTCCGTGCCACGCGGGTCCGCACGGGTATCGCACGGCTACACGCATTTCAGGTCCAATTCATTTGCAGCTCGCTTTTCCCCTTCCGTTTTCCCCCTCGGAAAACTGGAGTGGAGGCAAACGCATTTCGTGTCTGTGCCTGCTTTTTTCTTTATGATTTCGCCTGCTCGTATTTTGGCAGTTCCTATAAATAATTGAACTTTATCGTCTGCTGGCCCGCTCGCCATTTAATAAATTTAATTTGTGGTAATTGAACATTATGCTTTGGCCAGAGTTAGACACGAAAGTGGGGAATTAGAAGCTTATCGAGCTGTCCCCGCCTGAAATTCCAATTGAAAATATCCATTTCTCAGTGCTGACATGTAATTAGTAATGGAGGGAATCTCAGGGTGCGTACGAAATAGAAACCATTTGTTTTTTGGATTTTTTTTTTTCAGGAAATGTGTCACTCCATGACAATATCATAAGCTTACAAAAACTGATTCTGCATAGCTTATGACTATATAATTTCGTGGGGTAGTGTCACCCTTATCATTTCAGATTAGTCATTCCTTATATGAAAACCCAAGTGGCATGACATAAAACGTTCTGGAATCCATCACAGATAACGAGTTCAGGGACAGCCATATAATGCGTCAACTCAATATATTTTTTTAATATTGATCCTCTGTGGAAAACGAAACTCTCTTTTCAAATCTATCCAAATCGGTAAAAATATTGAATTAATATTGTAAGCTAAAATTACCGACGTAGCTAATTAGAATTTATTCAAATCAAAAACATAATAACCTGTAGTTTTCCAGAGAGATCTAGCTAATAGCCTTATGAGTAGTATTGTCTTTAAGTCTTTTTAAAACATTTCTGAAAAGTTGAATCAAATAATACAAATCTTTTGAATTCTAGCAGCATTCAATGTGTAACCGCAGATACATTCATAACTAAGACTTAAAAGTAACCGAATAATTCTCTCATTGAGAAGTCTGTGCTGTGCTGGTAATTAAAATTTATGCATTGAAACTAGCATTAACTGATTGGCTTATCTGCATTATGACAAATGAATGGCACAACTAATTTGTAAATCAAAAAGAATTTGTTTATTCTCACCTCTAAAGTTCGTACCGAATCGATGTATGTAAATGGCATCAGCTTAATGAAGACATTATCTGATAAATAAATCACAAGTGGGCGTTAAACTTATAAATTGCAGTCCAGTTCAAGTACGAGGGCGGATATATAAGTAAGTGTATTACATAGCCATTAAATGCGATGGGAGAAGAGTTATGAGGGTACCAATTAAAGAGCACATAAAGTGTGGATTTTACCTGCGGAAAAAGGAGCATTGGCATATGGCTTTGATAGTTTTAATTTATTTCTTTTATTAGCGCAAATAATGGGCTTTAATGGCGAATGAGAAATATTGCGCATACGCCGCGTAAGCCCGATCAAAGTGGGCTGTCCCCAGAGAGTCACCCTTCTCTCTCTTTCCCACTCTACCTCTCTCTCTCTCTCTCGTTGACACACACCAATATCTAAACAGCAAATCAAGTAAACTTTTAATATGGCCACGTTTCGATTAAGAAAGAGAGCGAGTGAGAGAGATGGATGGCTGAGTGAGTAAAAGTGAGAGAGAGCGCAACACTAAGGCAACACCCACTTTATCGATAGAGATTGTGAGCGTGTGTCTGTGTGTGTGGGAAACCCGTTTGTTTGCCCGCGAGAGAACGCATTCAGTTGCTCTGTTAGCGCACGTCCAACCGGAAGCCCAAAAGAAACGCGCTCTCACACTCCATCTTGTGTGTAAATGTTCGCTGTACGTGTGTGCCAGTGCTTCCCCATTCCAATCAGAACGCGCACACACACCAGCAGGCTCAGTGCGACAAGGAGTCCCCGTCGAATTTGAAATTCCTTGCCTTCAGTTGGATTTCGAACGTTTATGCGCGACACGCGAAACGCAGCGAATGAAGCGAGCGAAACGCGAATTGCCGTCGCCAAAAAGCAAACAGTGATATATAACCACAACCGCTATCATCATTCAATCGAAAACTGGAAAACTCACAGTTTTAATAGTCGCATTTTGATAAACTAAACGGGTTTCGCGTCTCGCATCCGTTGTTCCATTGGCCATCTAGCTGTCAATATAAAAGTGTATTTGTGAGTGGATCAGTGATCTTAGTCTTTTTTTGGTATCCATCAGTTGTCTATGGATTGCGTGTGATTTGTGGCGCTTTTGTTTAGACACCAGTATTCAAAATCAAATTAAACATAGCACACAAAACAAAAACTGACAAAACGTTCGCTGTGAAAACAATAAATGCGATTTAAAAGCAGTTTACATTTCTGTTTAACCGCCCAACAAAAAGGCCATTAAGTGCCATAACTGCCAATTGGCATACGAATCTCGATTAGCATATATCAAACAAAGCAATTTGAGCACCACTGAGGAATTAAACGGAAGGGAGCAGCGAGATATTCGCTGTTTATCCCAAACTAAGTAAGTTTCTAATTTTAATTCCTTTAATTAATTACATATTGAGCAATTTTATATCGCAACATTTTCTTTTAATGTAATATTGCCAAAAAGTTCCGAAGCCTTGATAGAATATTATGTTTTTTTAACACATTTATAAAAACCAAATATTTACGACCTGAGTGTATATATAGTGAATATAGTATTGGCTAATTTGTATACAAAATATTCAAACCATAGTTGTTTTAAAAAATTCCTCTATTAAGTATTACCTTAACGACCTAATGTTCAACCCCCCATCAAAAAATTAGAAAACAGGTTCCAAACTCCAGTGGCAACTCATTAGAGCGCTGTTAAATGCCATTCAATGATCGATTCCGATGATTGGCGAACTGCAGCTTTGTGTGAGAACAGTTACAGCTTAAATTAGACATAAACAATATGATCTGTTGTATCAATTAGCTAAGCTCAAGCTCGGCCACAACACAATCTTTATGGACCAACAATGAAATTAGCATCGGACTTATGTTGAACATGTAAAAACTACGTTAAGATACCGATCTAAGTTAATAAACTCGTTTGCGATAATCTCTGATAACCCTCGTGGAAATCGCTTTAGTTGCAGTTGTAGACACCCAGAAGCTAAAAGGGTGAAAGGGTCGTAAATTTGGCCACCAAATGTTGGCAACTAAATCATTTTCGATTGTGCCATTAGCGGCTGACCGTATATCAAATTGATATTGCTTTTGGTATTGTTGGTGTTGTTCAATAATTTAATTGAATTGTAATTTATGCGCTTGAGTTTTATATTCAAGTATTAACTGCCATAAAATATAGCAAGAAAAGCCATAAATTTCTGATCAACTTTTGAGCTGTCAAAGAGTAAAGAAAGGGGGTAGTCCCAGGGGTGGGATTTGATATGAACTTGGCGTCCATTGGCAGTTGACATGAGCGCAGTTTTGTTCCGATTAGCTCCCCGTTGAAAGACCAAGTGACAAAAATCTTTCAAGCTTCCATTTGGCTGGCCGTAATTGACGGGAGCAGCCAACCAGGCGGCAGCTGAAAACCGAACGTGTTTCATGAATTTTCAACACTCAGTCGCACTGCCAGTAGTTGGCATAATTACTCGCACAATTGCACTGCAGATACATAAATTGCCGACTCGGGCCAACCCCAACAAAAGACTCCAGAGCAAAACTTGCGAGAACAACGGATAGCAGTCATTAACATTCGAATTAACATTAACATTAGCTCGCATCACTATTCATTAGGGCCTCTTGGCCAAAACTCTTTGGTAATGCACATAAATTAGAGCAAGGTGTAAGCAGCTGACAATGAAGGGGGGAAAGGGGGTGTGTAGAAGGGGCTTACAATTCCAAACAAGTGAAATTATTCGGCAGCAATTAGGCATTTTAAAGGGACTCTATCTTGAGTTTAATTGCACTCAAAGTGCTCTTATCACCTTCTAACAAAATCCGTTATAAAGCGAAAAAGTTCTCTTTAACTTCTTAAATATTTATATTTCTCTGGAATTTGCTCATCATTTTTAAGTGGAAGAAACGTTTTCTTATTTTTTACTCTCCCCGAATATCTAAAAGTACGAATTCTAGTAAGAGGGGACTTTTATATAACACGTGATCAGTTGATTTCTTTTTAGAATATTTTATTAAAGTTTTAAGCTGTCTATAAATCAATCTAGATATTTTTATTTTTCTTTACTTAGTCGTTTGTTAGAGTTATAAAAATCGGAATGTTTTCTTACTCCTCATTTGGGGACAATTGACTTGAGTTCTTAATCGGCCCAATACAAATGCCTTAAAGCCACTAAATAAAAATTGTCATTTTTGTAAAACAACTAATAAACCTTATAAGCTATAAGGCAGTCCTTGAACTAATAAAATAAACAGAATGTGCCGTGAACAATATTCTTAAAACCTTGGACACCACATCGAATTGGCAACCCTTCTATCAGTTTAATGTTTAGCCTTGACCAGACCAGTTAGCATCAAACCCAGTTCTAATGCAACCCTTTGCTTCACTTTCACTTCCGAGCAGAGGCCACGAATCTGTCATTCCTCATCAGGTACTAACAAGTGCCGTTCCATATAGCAATTAACTGCTGGCGCCACCACTTAGAGGACAACAGCAGTGGCTCTGGCTAGGCTGAATGGATGACCCAGACAGCCGAGTGGCCAGAGAATAGGGTCCCATAGAGCCCGACCGTGTTGACAATGACACAACATGACGGCAGATTCTTGAGCGCAGGAAAATATTGCAAAAAATGTCATAAAATCATTAGCTAGAAAATAGTAAAGGCGAGTCCATAGGGGCCATAAAAGCAGGCCTAAGGACAGCCAAACCTTTGCCTTTCCCTGCCCTCCGAGGAGGTCATGAGTCAAAAGCGCTGCGTGTGACCGGTGGCACAGGTTACATGATCCCTCAGCCAACCATCCATCCAAGTGGGTTTGGGTTCGTGGATGGATCTGTGTGCGTGCTTAAGCGCCTTTTAATTTATAACACTTTTATGAGACCAACAAAAACCCATAAAACTGAAATTGGCTTCAAACAACAGAAAAGAAGGCAAAACAAAACTAGTTAAATGGCTCTAACTTTGTCTCCAGTTTGGGTCGAGAGAATTTTTTGGGAATTGCATCATAAATCTTAGCCCAAAATGTTTAGCGAGGTCAAAACAAAGGTCTTCGAGAGTTAGAGTTTCCAGGTTGTCAAAGGGATAAATTCGAAATTCCCAACAGCTAATTTGATTTTGGTTTGTCTTAAATCAACGAAAATAGCATATGTATATATTTCCCATAAGTTTGTATGGCATATTAAGCTTAACCAAAGGATGAATACAGAGTACTTTTAATACAAGAAGAATACTTTTAACATTAAGAAGAGCTCTTTTTGGCTATTGTTTCTTACTCTAAGTTGCAATACTATGATATGATATCGGTCATCATTAATTCAAAGTTTAAAAACTTGGATTTTCACTTCATGTAATACCTTCACATCCATAATATACTTAATTTTCGAAGCAGCCTGGCAACTCTGCTCAAACAACCCCCAGACACATTCAACGGAAAATGCAAACTGCAGCAAGCCAACCTAATTATGCAATTTTAACACTCGCTCGCCAAACTGACCACCAGCCAACCTACACAGCACAATCCCAAGCGAACTGTAGCCTCGTCCATAACCATATTCATTCAGGTAGAGCTGGTCCGAGAATGCAGCACGCAAGTGGAAAGTGTATCAGCGGCAGAAACAACTGGCAGGCCATGATAAATGCCCCTGGCAGCACTTTAACTCAAGCAGGTCAACGGGCCACAAAGAGGGCCCAATAGGAAGTGCAGACCTGGGCTGGAGACCCATTGACCCAACGTCCTGGAAGTCCTGCAGTGCCCTGCGAGACGGCGGCTAATTGCGTGTTAGCCAAGGACCCGGCCATGTAGATAGCAGATCCTGGCGAGGTCCTGGCCCTTCTCGGTAGCCAGGAACTGGGCGTCAGCAGTCTGAGTGGCTTGCTGTGTGGGTTATTGAGTATTTTTGGCTGCTTCAGAGGGGGATAAGTGCTATGTTGTAGAGATACTCAAAATATGGTGCAAAGATACAAAGTTCTATATACATAAACTATAATAAATAACTTTTTCTTCTGCATTCCGTTTGTATAATGTTTTAATTTATTTTTGAGTGAGATATATATATTTAATGTGTATAAATCATCATAAATCTTATTTTAATGTCAAACAATTAAATCAAATCAGTTGTTTACTGTTTTCCAATCCTTATCCGCAACATTATTTACCAGTGGCGTAGATTAAATTTCAACCACATAAATCATATATAATATATTTTAGGCCTGGATACAAATAGCTGGCACGATAAGCTTGCCTTATTCATGGCAATATCGCTATCAAGACAGGCCTATCAAATCGGGGCCATGTGGAACCTTCGCGGAGGAGGCGTAATCTGCGGATTTATCGCTGGGTCTTAGAGGAAGCTGTGTTCCACAAGTCCCAACGATAAGCTCTGTTGGAGAAAACTGATTTCGATTCCGGTTGCAGTTGAACCTTATCACAGTGTTTCTCAGGCTTTGAGTTCATTTGAACCTCAGGGCCGGCGCCAAAGGCTAATAAAAAAACTTTCGAAAACTCCCCTATGCACATTTTCCTTCTTCGTCATTAGGTGGCCATAATTAATTAATTAAAGACTAGGGAAAATTAGGCGACATCTTTTCACAGTCAAGAGCGCCGATTAAATCTTGATTTTTCCACAGCAATTAATTCCTCGGGTTCCCTTTCTGTCTCTCTCTCTCTCTCTCTCTTTCCTTCTCTGTGTTTCCCTCTGATCTCACAAATGTAAATGTCACCCAAGAGGAAGGGAGAAGAGAAGACATAAGCCGCGCCGACGCCAAGACACTTAAAAGCTTTGGTCAGGGGCCGACGGACGTCGAGATGGGGGCCCAATCGGGAGACACATTCGAGGCACATTCCCCGGGAATCTGTCGGTCCGCGTGCCGAAAACTTGTCACTGCCACTACACAGAAAGAAAGATCTATAAAACACTATGATATTTTTTTTTTTTATCAATTTCAAATAGATTTTGGGGTGCTGATACTAAATTTGTCCACGAAACTGTCTTATTACGGCATTGTTTTTTAGACCTCAACAACAAGCTAACAGATTCTTGCTTCCTAAATTCTTAAAATAAAGACCAAGCGCAGCTACTAGGTTTTTTTATATATCTTTCCAAACAATTAGCAAAGTTTTTATCAGTAAAAGTAGGACTACCTCAGCTCCATAAATATTTTAAAAAAATGATTTTTGTAAAAATAATGGTATAATTTTGTAACACTCAACGTATAAAATTCATTGCACCACATTTCGATTTAAGATCTAATTTTTTCTGTGTAGAATTTGATTTTGAAAAAAGCAGGGAGGGCTGGGAGACACCTCGCTGGTATCCCGGTGTCGGCAGAGATCAAAAGCCCCAGGCACAGGCTTAATTTAGACGCCATCTATGCT